GGGGTGTCTTATGTGTTTTTGTCGGTTTAACTGTGTGTACTGTGCTGCTGAGGCAACTTGTGGAGGGCGATTTATGGAAGAGGATGGTATACATACCTGCAGTAGCGTCAGCTGCAGTATCTGGTTTTCCTTTCGCAGTGGTCATGAAGAATGTTCTTTTCACGATGAGAATGAAGCTTCAGAAGGACATGAACAGGAAGGATCTCAGTGCGCAGCTGGGCTTCATGCACTCTGTGAAGGAAGAGGTCAAAGCCACCATCCACTTCCTCCGCCTCATGGCACTCAGAGAGGACAGAGAGATCCGGGTGGTCTTGAAGATCACCAGCTTGGACTTATGCACTCCAGACAAGGTGGTGGCAGTCCTGGACGCCATCAATATCCTTCTTTGTGACCCAAACGCTCCCTTTATCTCCATCCTGGCTGCCGACCCAAGCATCCTAGTGGAATGCATTCAATGGTCAAGCAATACCTGCAGCAACGGCTACTTGTACTTGGACCGCATCATTTCCTTGCCCTTCTCTCTGCCGCGGATGAGTCCGATGGCCAAGTCACAGTTACTCAAAGGGATTTTGAAAAACCAGATGAAGGGGGGTTCCACTGTAAATCCAGGTGAAGGACACCACGCAGAAAGTCGTAACAAAGGTAGGGTATTAACCAGAAAGGAAATTGAGCAAATCAGTCACTACTTATGCCATGAGAATTTTGATGCCTACTTCCCGGGGAACTCTGTCCAGATGAAGAGGGTCGTGAACACTGTGCTGACCGTGTGGACCATGATCAAAATGGGATTTCGACCCAAAGGAGGACACCAAAGGAATGGAACAGATGAGAGAGAGAGAATCGAAGAGATGATCGATTGGGTTGTCCTTGCCAATTGTTGGCCTTGCCGTCTGAGCTGGATTTTGCAATGCGTGGAGGATGATCAGCAGCGAAGTATACTTGAGGAAAGCCAAAGAAGGGCCTGCCAGGACAGTGTGGGAAATGCAGAAGGACACCCACAGGGGAGAATCTCAGAGAGGAACGGCAGGGGATTACTGGACGTTTATGAGGCCAACGCTTGGGATCTGGACAGGATGAAGTACAACCTCAGGAAGCTTTTGGAACTTGATGGAGACCCTGACCTTTTCCGAACCTTCTTGCAGAAGAGCCATTTTACAGTCGGGCGGGCCAGGTATTTTTCTGACCTCCTCCTCAATTTGGACTTCTCCTTAAAACGGCGCTTTGAATTGCTGCGTGGTCTCAGCAGGATCGCCAGGGAGAAGGAAAGGGTGGATCTCCTCCCAGTGAGAAACACCGAGACGTATGGCCAAGTGCAGGACAATTAAAAAAAAACCTCTCTGTATTATTTCCCAGCGTGGTGTGGTGGTTAAGAGCAGCGGACTGTCATCTGGAGAGCTGGGTGTGATTCCCCACTCCTCCTTCCCATGAGGCCTGCTGGGTGACCATGGGCCAGTCACCGTTCTCTCAGAACTCTCTCTTCCCCACCTACCTCACTAGGTGCTTGTTTTGGGGGAAAGAAGGAAAAGGCAATTATAAGCTGCTTTTAGACTCCTTAAGGTAGAGAAAAGTGGGGTATAAAAACCAACTCTTCTTCCTGATAAAATATCTCAGTGGAGGAAGAAGAAGAGTTGGTTTTTATACCCTGCTTTTCACTACCCGAAGGAGTCTCAGAGCAGCTTACAATCTCCTTCCCTTCCTCTCGCCACAACGGACACCCTGGGAGGCAGGTGTGGCTGAGAGAGCTCTGATAGAGCCGTGACTGACCCGAGGTCACCCGGCTGGCTTCATATGGAGGAGGAGTGAGGAATCCAACCCGGTTCTCCAGATTAGAGTCCACACTGGCTCACACCGCACCTCCTTGCCAGAAAGGAGTAGCCCACTTTTTAAAAACTGTATGTAGTTACGTATCTCAGAGATTTGACATTCTGTTTTCCACTTCTCCATGGGCTTAAAGAGAACCCTTAGATATCCAAGAATCACCAGTATTCAAGAAGATGGATCTAATTAGCAGGTGTAAACAACAATCACAGATCTGGGGTTGCCACTACGCGAGGTGCCCGGCGGGCCTTTCTTATGCTGCAACTAGAAGTGGCTTTTACTGGGGTGCACGGAGGGTTAGATCCAGTGGATCATAAGAACATAAGAGAAGCCAAATGTTGGATCAGGTCAATGGCCCATCCAGTCCAACACTCTGTGTCACACAGTGGCCAAAAATACCAGGTGCCATCAGGAGGTCCAGCAGTGGGGCCAGGACACTAGAAGCCCTCCCACTGTTACCCCCCCCCAAGCACCAAGGATACAGAATTGGGGGATCTTCCCTGGACACATGAGCCTTTCCCTGTCGCACCATGGGAAGTCTCCTTGCATTGGGAAAAAGCCTCATTAGTGGAACGGATCCACAGGATTCCACCCATTTATTGCTGGTTATTATGAGTCTGCAACAGTTAATTGCAATCAGCACTCTTCAAACACACTGGGTTTTGCACTGACCCTTAAGTACGTCGATGCAGGAGGGACTGGAACTTTGTTGGGAATACTGAGTCATCTCCCCCCCCATCTCTTTTCCCACCCCCAAATAATGACAGTGTGTAAACTGTACTGGTGTGTGGTTGGCTAGTGTCCGCTTCCCCATGCATTCAAATAAATCCACGTTTAGAAAGCAAAGTCAGATTTATTAATAAGCGATGGATAGATCAGGAACACAACCATTGTTAGGAATAACTACAAACCCCAAAGGGCAACATAATAAAGGAACTTGAACCAGGTTAGGACCAATGAGTCCAATTCCCGCTGGCGGGAATTTAGATAAAACGAGTGCCCAATTCCTTGGGAACACAACGGTTCTACAACATAAACACAAGTTCAGTTCTCAGGCTTCAGATACATAACAAGCAAAGCGACGCCATAACTCCATCCCACCTCCAGCTGTTTGACCTTGAGCAGTTCCGCAGAGTAGCAAGCAACAGAATATAAACACCTACACAAGAGGGTACAGAGGGGGAAGGGCGAGAGCACACTCTAAAGGGTACAATGTAACACAGCATTCCATGGCAGCTTGCTGACAGCTTGTTAGTTACTGGAACTCATCCTTGCAAAGATAAAGGTACGCATATTCCTTTAAAAAATTAATAATCTATTTATTAATTTCCGCACAAATCAACAAACAAACAAACGCACACAAATACATAATACATAGATATAGATAGTTTTTGGTACCTTTACAAGATTATACAGTAACCAATAATGTCATTCTTTTAATTGATACTTCTCCAATACGGATTTTCTAATAGCGCATCTTATAACTATTTACTCCTGTACCATATCTCAATTTCCCTTACACGTGGTCTACAGCCTGAGAATTAAACAAATAATTTTCCCTATCTCTGCTACTTATTTTCTGTATCACACAGCATCTTAATTTCTATTAACTCCATAGATATTCCTCCTTTTCTTCTATATTTGACCATTTATTTCTAACACCTGTTTATAATTACACCTTTACTTTCCTGCTCATCAACTTATAGTTACCAAACCAAAAAGTTTTCCTTCACCAATCAACACAATATACCCTATTCCAACCACATTACTCCCTTAATAATAGAGTATCCTTATGTTAGATTACGAAATAGTAATAATTCTTACATATAAATATACCTAACTAAATCCATTTACTTATTTCAACACCAACAAAACTGTTTTATTTTATCTTTGCCTTCCTCTTATTCTGAGAAACAAGACGGTACCCACAACAAAATGTTGCATAATGTATTGTGGCCCTACCATAGTCTTGGTTGCAGGCAGTCCTCACCCCTTTATGTCAGCTTTCCTCCCTGCCAGTGTTCCCTCTAAACTGAGTTAGTGTGAGCTAGCTCACAGTTTTTTAGCCTCCGGCTCACACATTTTTGTCTTAGCTCAGGAAGGAGGGCTCCAGAGCAAACTAAGTTATGCAGCAGCCAAATCGTTTGCTCACAGCTTTAATGCCAGTCGCTCACAAAGTAGAAATTTGCTCACGAGACTCCACAGCTTAGAGGGAGCATTCTCTAGCAATCCTTTCTTACCCCTTCTCCTCTCCCCCCTTGTATGTCTCACCCCCTCTTACCCCAGCCCTTCTCAATGTCCTTTCCCCCCCCACCTCCTCAGTCTGCCCCTCTCTTTCTCTCCACTATTTCTCTACCCCCCAATCTTCCCCTTCCTCTTCCTCTCCCCCTCCCTCAGACAATCTCCCATTCTTTTCTTTCTCTCCCCCCAACAGACAATTCCCTATTCTTTCTCTGTATCTCTCTCCCTTCTCACAGAACCCCACTTCTTTCTGTTCCTCTCCTTTTGCAGCTGCAGGACAGCAAACATCCCCAGCCTGGTTGCAGGAGGGAGGGGGCCGACGACACAGGCTTCCCTCCCCAGGGAAGCCGCTGGTTGCCTTTACTCAGCAGTCCAGTGCACAAACCTACTGGTTGAAGCTATAAAGTCTTCTTTGTCCTGGCGAGGGCTGTCCCAGCAGCGGGGCGCACAGCTATTGCGGTTGCAGCTTCCCTCGTGGCTCCAGCGGCTTTTCCCACGACTCAGGAAGTCCGTCCACTGTGCTTGCGCAGAGTAAACCGTTTTACTTTTATAGGGATTTAAATATCTCTGTATACTTTTTACATATACTTTTTAAAACATTTAGATTTTCCTGCAAACATGGGGACTGCCCCAAGTTTGCTGGAAGATCTGTTTAACCTCCATGTGACCAAGATCCATGGAAATAAGTATCCACACACAGAGGGGACCTTGGGAATTAGATATATAGATTTACTTTTAATCAAATTAGTTTCATCCCCATTCCAAACCTAAACTTTATCCTATATGCAATCAGTTGCCCCATATAATACTTCAGCAATTCATTAGCTCTGCACCCCTAATTGATTTTAATACTACACACAGCTGCCTTACTCATATTCAATCATTCCATTCTTTCTTGCAAACCAAAATCTAATACAACATGAAACTATCCATAGACAAATAAACCCCTTGTCTCTTAGTTCCCCTTCCTTTCTCTGTTTCTTCTTCTTCTCTTTCTACTTCTTTTAGGTGTCGAAAGTTCTTAAATTCCAGTAGCCTTAAGACCAAACTTTGCCAGGTCCCTTCCCATAGATACATCTTCATTCTTTTGTTACGTTTAAAGTTCTTTTTAGATTTTTTAAATTCTTTCTTTTCCTTCCCCTGGTGTTTTAAACTGTGGCCTTTTCTCTGTTGTTCCTTCTAAGTTTCTTTTACACTCCTGAGCTTTTTGCGTTCATATAGCTTTAAGTCTTGGCATTGGCCTCTCCCCTTCTCTGCAAAATTCTTTGTCCTTATATAACGTTTAAAGTTCCTTCCTACTCTTCTTAACTCTCTCTTTTTTTTAGCTTGTCCTTTTAGTGTATGTTGCGGTGCTGCGGTGGCTCAAGTGGTTAAGACGCTGAACTGCAGGCTGTGGAAGGTCAGTAGTTCAGCGGTTCAAGACCCGGGTTGCCGCAAGACAGGGTGAGCTCCTGTCTCTAGTTCCAGCTCCTGCCAACCTAGCAGTTCGAAAGCAAGAAATTGCAAGTAGATAAATAGGTACCACTTCGGTGGGAAGGGAACAGCGTTCCGTGCGCCTTGGTGTTTAGGCATGCCGGCCACATGACCACGGAAACGTCTTCGGACAGCGCTGGCTCTTCGGCTTTGAAACGGAGATGAGCACCGCAACCCTAGAGTCGGATTCGACTGGCTTTCGAGCAAGGGAGACCTTTACCTTTACCTTTTTAGTGTATGTTGCCTTTTTTGTTGTATTTTAAATCTTAAGTGTTTCCCTTTCTTTGACTGACTCCTCGACAAGAGTTCAAGATCCTGTGATATATCTTCTGTGTGCAAAGTTTGATTACTTGAAGACTCCCTCTCCTGATCTAGCTCATGTTGTTTTAACACAGGTGAAAGTCGTTCCATTTCCTCCTTATTTTCCACCTCCTCCTGAGGAGCCAATTGTCCTCCAAATACATTTTTAAACGCTGTTGCTACCGCTGTCGCAACCGCTTGCTTAATAGATTCCTCCAAAAAAGACTTAAACTGTTCCACATTAAAATCTTGTATTTGTAGAATTATCTCAGATTCTGTCTCCTCCTCCGTTTTCGCCGCCGCCATTTTCTCACTCCGCTTTACACAGGTCTACAAATAGTCCATAAAGCTTTTAACATCGCTGCCCTCAAATTCCTTTCCACAGTTCCTTTCCTTTTCACAGTTATCCACAATTTCTTAATTAACTTTTATAGTCCGCTATACATTTGTTCTTACCCCGTTTCTTCGTTACTTCCTTCTCTCCTCTAACTTT